TAAAATAGGACAAGCCACCCTTTCACGGGGTCGCATATCAGATGTTACACTGTGATGCATAACGGCAGCAGTATCCGTTATGGAGTAGCAATGAAATGGTTTTATGGTGGGGTTCACCATGACGAGTCAGCTTCCAAACCCCTTGTGGTGACGTGTACACAAAGCTGTGACCATGCTGAAGCCAGCAAACTGTGCGCCTTCGGGGGGTGAGCTGAACCTTACGGAGAGGATGCCCCAAGTCAGAAAACTGCCACGGGGAAGAAACATGGCGTGACTCAAACAGCCCCACTGCACTAGCCGCAAAAGCAAACTCACCCCAGACCCCACAGGACCCTCGTCTGGCTTAGGCTCTGCAAACTCCATCTCCCTCCAGAGCCCCATCTCACTGTCTACCCCCACTGGGCCCGGCTGGAGAACCCTGCCCCAGATCTTCCAGCTGCCTACTCCTCCTCCCTCTCAAGGGTTGCCTCAAGTACCTGTCTCCTCCTCCTGTGCCCAGACGCCAGCTTTGTCATTATCTCTAATCACCTCTCCACTTCCTCCTGGGATCCCTGAGGGCAGTCACTAAGTGTGCCAGGTAGCTACCGTTCCAGAATGCGCTGCAGAGAGCCATGAGGCCACTGTGCGCCATCCTTCACTGGGCGTTCCATGACCTCCTCTCTGCTTTCCCTAGCAGACCCACTCCCTGTCTGTGGGTGGCCTCTCCCCGACTCCATGTCCTTCAGCTTCCTCTCTAACCAAGCCCGGCATCCAACACCAGACCAAAGCTAAGCCCTCATCTCCTCAGCCCTAGGACGAGACCTGACATCCAAGGGATGCACCCCACTGTCTGCCACCGCTGGGCTCTTACACTTGTCCTTCAGGGGTGAGCACATGGGTGGGCTCGTGGGGACGACTCCACCTCATCCAGTCAGTTTTGGTAGTCACAACCTGAGAACATCGTCTGCACCTCATCTGGATCTGGGGGTGTATTCAGACGTGGCAGAGAGCCATGTCCCTGGCCCTCATGGCCGCCCCTCCAGTGTTTTGGCTGGTGAGACGCCTCTGCCTCCTAACCGGTCTAGTATATCCACTTCCTGCGCCCTCTAGTCTCCTCAGTAGAGCACGGGCACTGTCAACCCGGGCTGGCCGGACCCGATGGTCAAGGAAAAGAAGTAAACTCGGTCAGGAGAGAGAAAGCCCTTGGCCCCACCCACCCCAGGAGAGCCTTCTAGATTGTTAATCCACTGCAAACCTGTGACACACCTGGCGCGGCTGCAGCATTGGCACTCAGTTTCAGTGAGTCAGGCCTTCAGGGTCTCGCCTGAGCACCGGACTGCTACTGAAAACTGCCAAAAGCAAACCCTCTTCAGGACACACTGTGCACGCTGGGAGACTACAACGTCTGTACGGGTTTATCCGTAACAGCAAGCTAGCCCGGGATGGGGGGGAGGGGATGCCAACAGTGGGGAACCCGGGATTGGTGGGAGGGGCATAAGGAAACTGCCTCCTGTTCAAATTGTCTGTGAACCTAAAACTCTAAAGACTACATCTTTCACGAGGCATCTCTGGGCCCGTTTTGGTGTGCAGATACACCTGGCCTCACGCCTCTCTAGATCTGCTGAGGTTGTATGCCCACGTGCCAAGGCCCAGCATCGACACTGTCTTCTCCCTTGGGAAGCCTTCCCTCTGCCGCAGCTGCCCTCCTTAGCCAACAGTAACAGATAACATCCACCAAGTGCAGACTAAACCCCCAGCCGTGGGGTCCATGGTGCTGTAAGCACGTCCGCTCGGATCACGATCCCCTGAACTGCCAGGGAGAGGCCAGAGGACAATCCCTACAGGCAAGCTGCCAGGGTCAGAAGCCACCCCACCACTGACCAACCATGTGACCTAGGCTGACAACCATGTGACTGAGGAAAGGTGCCTCATCTCCTCACCCCACACCGGTAGTAAATCATGACACATGCCCCGTACTCAACAAGAAACCTGCAGGCAAGGAAGCAGTCCCTGCACACGGCAACCGCTCTACCTGTTTCATGGAGGAGAAAGCCACGTCTAGACAACTGCGTGGCTGACACAATGTCACACGGCCACAGAGCTAACTCCCGGTCAAATCCGGGTCCGCCACACTTCCTCTCAGGACACTGGCACTGCTCCCAATTAATGTCTGTTCCTGTGGCTGAGTCCTCAGTCCTCCGGGAGATTCCTAGCTCAACCCTAAAGCTCCTCCTACGGTTTTCTCACCCGCTAACATCGCAGGGAGTGGCCAGCAGGCCGAATCCTCAAAGGAGGGCAGGAACTATATATACTCAGCCCTGACCAACTGACCCTGCACACAGACCCAAAGCAATGCCCTGAGCGGCCTGGCCCTAAGGCCGAGACTATCCTGTGTCTAGTTCCCAGCATTATCCACGTCAGGGCAGGCACTCCTGCATGTAGACAGACAGACTCCCACGCTGGGCACAGCAGAGAAGCCACTGCTCTGGGAGCCCAAACGGAGAGGCCAAGACAGAGAGAGAAGAGGAAAAGCAGAGGCAACCGGGTCACCCAGTCTACCTGGTCAGGGTCTGGAATGGTCTCTCTATAGCCCTCTACACTCCACCTCAAGGCCATTGGCACTAGGACCAAGACAGCTCAGCTCCCTACCCACCCTGCTGGCTAGTGAGGCCTCCACCTCGGCTCACATGGGTCTCAGTTCTCACCACCCAACCCAGTCACCAGCAGATGCTGTAGGTCCCCTACAGTAAGAGAGTCTGCCAGCCAGCAACCCCGTATGCACGAGTCTTCCTGACAGTTGATGAAGAATGGGGAACCAGGGACCCCAACCCAATGGGTAGCACCTAAGAATAGGCCTGTAACCCCAGGTCCAGCCATGCCCAAGAGGACACAGCACTGCAATCTGGGCCAGTTCCAGGCTCCTACAGAGAATATATTCTGAAGCTACCTCAGCGCCTCGGGCTCTCCAGGCCGGGCACCAGGATCTGCCCTATCTTGCCAAAACAAAGGTGGCCACCTCTATCCCATGGCCTCAAAGAACTTAGCACCAGGTAACTGCCAAGCTCTCAGAGCAAGTCACCAAACTTGCAGCCAGTTAGTCAGAGGATGCCAATACGGGTCTGGAAAGTCTGTGAAGTGTGTCTGGGCACCCCTCCCCCCAAGCGCGATGCGTGCCCATCAGTGACTACACAGTTGTCCCCACCGCCCTGCACTGAGACCACAGCACGCTTTCCCTCTAGGCCCTCAGAACTCCCGTGGCACTGTGGGACACCTCCCTCATGGCCTGAACAACTCCAAAAAGGGACTACAAGATCCTCGTCAAGCTGACCATGTCACCCACCGGCAGGCCTGGCCCATGGAAACCTTGGGAGCGTCTCTCCACCCCATGGGCTGTGCCCACCAGAGCAATTCCGTGTCCTGGGGTGAGCAGTCTCTGTAGTCTTCACAGACTAGGTTTGTTCGGGAGAACTGTAACCATGTTCCCCACTTAGGGAACCGAGGACGAAACAGCTTGGGAAAGGGGAAGTGACACATCCAAGGTCACAGTAAAAGAGCCAAGACGGGACTCGGGAAAGCTGGCTTCAGAGGCCTTCTGGGTGACTCCTGCCTCAAAGGAAAGTATGAGGAGCCTTGCACCGGGGAGGACAGTGTTATCACCTCCACTGTGTCCTCAGGGGAGGACAGTGTTATCACCTCCACTGTGTCCTCAGGGGAACAGAAGCGACTCTCGGGGAGCTGAAGCAGAGTTGTGAGCCACAGAGCTCTTTGGTGAGGAATATCTATCACCAGTGGCTGCAACCCGGTCTTGAACCTCACCACGGGCCAAGCCAAAGGACATGCCCTTCCCATGCCACCCCCAGCTCGGATGGACGATATGTGAGATAAGCCAGATGGGAATCTGAGGAGAAAGAGTTCTCCGGGCCGTGGCGACACGGCGCTCAGTAACTCCAGAGAGGCAGACCGGGGAAGGCTGGGCTGCACTCCACCCAAGAGGCTCAGGGTCAGATGTCAACGAGAACCTCAACGTCGCCCAACACCGGAGCCTAAACCAGAAACGACGCGAGAGGGGGGGGGAAACAAACAAACAAACAAAAGCAAGTGGCGGTCTTTTTAATAACGCCCCGGGGTCGGGTCTCAGCTGGTGGCGTCGGTTCAGCCTCCACACTGGCTTTCTGCATCTGCGGATCGCCTTTCCGCCTGACCTCTGCGGGTGCGAGGGCGACTCACGCCCCAGGATCTGGGGGGGTTCACCCTGTGACCTGCACGGATGCACACGGGGAGGGGCGGGGGGTTCCGGGGGGGCGGGGCTCCGCGCGGAACCCAGCCCCGGGTCCGCCTCGGGGAGGGAGGAAGGCGACCGGGCCGGGCACGGCCCACGCGGCGCTGACCTTGGCCTGGGGAGGCTTCCCCTCCCGGGACCCCGTTTCCTGCCGCGCGCGGGTGGGGTGGGGTGTGGGGGACAAATGACCGAACGGGGCCTCGCATCGCCTGCATCCCCGTAATTACCGGCGGGATCAAAGGCCAGCAGCGCGCGGCGCCCGGGGCAGCAACGGACCAGGGCCGCCTCGAAATGGGGAAGGAGGGGACACGGGAGGAGCGAGGCCTAGACTGTCCCTGGGCCGCCGTTTCCGGTCAGCCCCCGGGTCCAGGCGGCGGGGATCGCCTCCCCCCCCCGCACGCACACACACACACACCCCCACCCCGAGTCCCCCGCGCTTCCGGCCTCAGCCTGCGGCGTGACCCCCGGGGGATGGAGTGGGTGGGTGGGGGGCGCCTCCCGGACTCCGGCCGCTCCGCCCGCGCCGCGGACGAGCAGCCGGGCGGCCCGCACAGCCGCCCCGGGGCCGCGCACGCGCACTGCCGCCCCCTCGGCCCCCCCCGCACGGGCACGACGCGCACGCGCACTCGCCCGCTCGGCCGCGCGCCCGCCTCCCCACCCACACCCCCGTGCGAAGCCCGGCTTCCCGACGCGCGCCCACCCCCCGGGGTCCCCCGGCCCGAGCCCCCAAGCCCGCCCTCACCTCCTCGGCTCCGGGGCCGCCGCCGCGCTGCACTCGTCCTCCTCTCTCCCGCCTCGCCGACGGTGGCGGCGGCGGCGGCGGCAGCGGCGACTCAGACCCTGGGGTCAGGGGGACGGGCGCCCAGGCCGGAAGTGACCTTCCCGGCCGCTTCCGCTCGCGCCTCTTCCCTCGCCTCGGCCCCCCTCCGCCCTCCCCACCCCCGCCCGGGCCGCCACCGCTTCCTCGCCGCTCTAGGCAGCCGAGCTCCGAGACCCCGGGCCGCCAACCCCCCCCACCCTCCGGCTCTATGGTTACCGAGAGGCGCCTTCAGGACGCCACTTCCGGATGCGTCTAGGACCCGGGTCCGCCGTCCCGCTCTATGGCGCCTCCGCTCCACAGGGGGGCTCCGGCCCCGCCCCCTCCCCGGACAGAAGGCCGGGCCCGACCCGTTAGGCGCACACTTCCGGGTGTCTGGGGCGGGCCCCCAACCCGGCCTCGCCACTCGCGCCTGCGCGGTGAGCGGCCCGCGGGGGACGCTCCCGCCACTCTGGTCCTCCTGGCGTCTCTATCATCGTAACCCCTTCCGCCCCGGGACGCCTCCCGGCCCACGCCGATCTTTCGGGAAAAGCACAGTTCCCGGGATCCGCGATCCTGGGGTCTCCTGGACTGAGGGTTGCCCTCTGGGGACCGCCTCATCTTGAGATCTGCCCCCGTTTTGCAGAGGACCAGTAGGTCACATCACCTTAGTGAGTGACCCAAGATTGGCGGAGCCCGCACTCGAACCTGCAGAGTATGCCTCCTAACTGTTTCTCTGTGACTTAAAACGCTGCCTCCCGCACGGAAAGCCCACCACGGGGTTTTCAGGGATGCTAACGACGAAGGGATGGGAACGAAAGAACCCTCTGCAGCAACTGCCTTCAAGGCGCAATTTGAAGCGCAAATGTCAGTGTTCTCTTCTCTGAGACAAATGTCATAGTCAGTGGTCCCTAAGTGACTTTACGAAAGCAGACATCAGGGCTCTGCCCGCATCTGGACTAAGTGAGGGATGGACATCTTTGAAACAACCTCTCCCGAACCAGGAAAAAAACCTGTACAGCCTAAAGGCAAAAAAAAAAAAAAAAAGATACATGACACCTGAGGACATGACAAGAAAATGGAAAGCATAACCGTCCCTTAGCAAGACTTTGTAAGCCCCATTAGCACCACCCAGCCTCCGCTGCCGGGGCTGTTAGGGTGGGTAGAGAAGTCGGAAATTCAAGAGGAGGCCTAGGCTGAGCCCTGTAATGGAAAAAAAAAATCCCCAAGCTGCCTGTAATTCATGTCCAAGCGCTGGACTTCCCAGGGCTAGATAAAAGATAAACCAGCCGGGACCTTTCAGCTTGTGATAAAGATCACAGGCGACCCGTAACTGATTGAGAGGCTAAAGGTGAACCGGCGTAGGGGCTTTAAAATGGCCTCAGAGCTGAAGAGTAAACGCGCAGGTCGGGGAATACAATCAGCTGTCCCTTCCTGGCTCCAAGCTAACAGAACTAAAAGGGCGAGCAGGCAAGCAGTGAACACGGTTAGTCCCCTGCCGCGCAGAGGAATTCTCAGACTGTTAAACTCGGTAGTCCGAAAGTTAAATATTTCCCCCACCGTGAGGCTCGGAGGGCGGAGAGGATACGCTCTCACCTCATAGCCATGGAACCCTGGAGGGGAACAGTTTTGTGCCCCCCCCCAACAACTACAGGGAACAAAGCTCTGGCCACCTCGGGCTGCCTCTTATCTCTCCAAACTGTGTCTCCTTTACTCTAGTAAGGGTGCAATTCTGCCACACACACCCCAACTCCAACCAGCTGTCCTCAAGTCACCTTTTGTATCTGATTCGTATGGTTTCTTCATTTGTGTGTGTGTGTGTGTGTGTGTGTACTCGTGTGTGAGTGTGCACGCACCTGCATGCACATGCCACAGTGTGCATAAAAGGTCAGAGAACAATTTTGGGTTTTTTAATTTCTAGACAGGGTTTCTCTGTATTGTTTTGGAGGCTGTCCTGGAACTCGCTCTGTAGACCAGGTTGGCCTCGAACTCACAGAGATCCGCCTGCCTCTGCCTCCCGAGTGCTGGGATTAAAGGTGTGGGCCCCCAATGCCCGGCCAGAGAACAATTTTAGGAGTCGGTTGGTTCTCTTCTATCATGTGGGTCCTGAGAGTGGAGTCTAACCCAGCAGGCGCATCCTACCAGCTGAGCCTTTCTCCTGGTCCTGGCAGTGACTCTTGTAACTCCCTGAGTTCCACGAGCCATGAGTTTTATGAGTTTTCTGACTCTTCCCAACTTCAATCCAAAGGAAAGTTAGACACTAGCCACCCACCCACCCAATCCTAGGATGTTTCTGTAATAGTCACCTCCTCTCTTTGTGACAGCAACATACCAGACCGTAGCAACTTAAGGGAGTCACGGTTACGTGAAATCACAGTTCCAAGATCCGGTCCATCACGGCAATGCAGCCACAGTCAGGAAATGGACAGGCATGGACACTGGTGCTCAGCTCTCCAGAGACTCCAGCCGGGGGAGCGGTGCATCTTCCTGTGTCCGGGAACTAATCCAGATCATCCCTCACTGTACACTTGGGGCTAGTCACCTAGGTGGTTCTAGAGCTTCTCAACTCCGCCATCAGTCCTTTAAATTTCCATTGATAACTGTGTGTATGTGTGCGTGCCAGTGTGTTCACATGAGGACAGAGGCGTTAGATTCCCTTGGAGCTGGAGTTACAAGTGCTTTTAAAGTGCCCAACATGGCCGGGCGGTGGTGGCGCACGCCTTTAATCCCAGCACTCGGGAGGCAGAGGCAGGTGGATTGCTGTGAGTTTGAGGCTGGGCTGGACCGACAGCCTCGAAAACAATGCAGAGAGACCCTGTCTCGTAAAAACCAAAATAAATAAATAAATAAATAAGTGCCCAACATAGATGCTGGGATCCAAACTCAGGTTCCTTGCAAGAGGACCAAGTGCTCTTTTGTTGTTTTGGTTTGGTTTTTGCCTTTTCCAGGCAGGGTTTCTCTGGGTAGCTTTGGAGCCTGTCCTGGAACTTGATCTCTACAGTTGGCTTCAAACTCATTGAGATCCACCTGCCTCTGCCTCTTGAGTGCTGGGATTAAAAGAATGTGCCACCGCCGCCTACCTGGGCCAAGTGTTCTTCACTGCTGAGCCACCTCTCTTCAGTTTGGCAATCAGTCTTTTTTTTTAATTTTTATTTTTATGTGCCTTGGTGGTTTGCAAGAGGTGTCAGGTTCCCTGGAACTGGAATTACAGACAGTTGTGAGCCGCTGTGTGGTTGCTGGGAACTGAACCCGGGTCCTCTGGAAGAGCAGTCAGTGCTCTTAACCACTGAGCCATCTCTCCAGCCCCTTGGCCATCAATGTCAGCCACGCGTGTGGGAAAGCTAACACTGGCGCTTCATTTCCACGGAATTGTGTCTCTTCACACCCAAAGGTTACACCTCCCCTCTAGGCATCTAAGTGTGACCTTGTGTCTGGTTCTCGCCAGTGAGGTGGAACAGAAATGACATCAGCCACTTCCAGGTCAAGGCGCTTAGCAAACAAATATTCCTGCCTAGCATTCTGTTGATTTTTGCTAGGCGTTACGCGTGGGATTGGAAGTGGTAAAGCCAGAGAAACCTGGGTTTGCGAATGGCTGCCTTGTGGAGACAGGTCCCAGCCCCAATCCAAGATGCTTACATGAAAAAATAAACAAACAAACATCTTGGGGTTGGAGGGATGGCTCGGAGGTTAAGAGTGCTTGCTACTCTTCCAGAGGTCCCCACGTTTGGTTCCCAGCACCCACATAGTTGAACTTTCAACTACCTGTGTGTACCCCAGCTCGAGGAGACCTCACTGCCTCTTCTGGCCTCTGCAGGCACCCACACTCGCACGCACAAACCCACACATACAGGCACACACACATATATATATATAAAATTAAAAATAGAGTTCTTAAAATAAGTCGAAACCATGAAACTGAGTAAGACGGGATAAAGTTTTAGAGAAAGGACAGCAAACCGGTGGGTGTGGCCCTGTCATGTGACCCGAGCTGGCTAATCAGTGGCCTCCCTGGCATTCCCTGGAACTGAGGTGAAAGTCTATTGGTCCTGAGGTCACTGAGGTTGACAAGCTCTGGAGCGGGGAGCAGCCGTGAGGCTCATCCAGGATGAGCCTGTCTATAGAGAAGAAACAGAGGAAGGCCCAGTCCTTGGCAAGCCGAAAGCCTCGGGTGCCCCTAAGGCTTCCTGGCACTCCTGCTGGTTTCTTTCGCTCTTCTCTCCTGAGCGAAGTCTCCAAACTCCCAGGACAACCCATTCTGGCGTTAGCTGCTTCCACCTGCTGGGTTTCTGTCACCAAGCGTCTCAAACCAGGCCCCGAGTTAAGCAACAGGCTGGTTACCTCTGTGGCGGAATGCTCACGGAAATTCCTGGCTGTAGATGTCCGAGTGGCAGCCCCCACCAGAGAGCCCTTCACAAACCCTCATCCTCCAGGGGATGCCCTCTCCCAGAGAGTGTCGGGAACAGCTGCCAGAGGCCTGCAGCTGTTGAAGTACGATCCCTGTAAGGGTCGCTGGCCCACCACACACACACACACACACACACACACACACACACACACACACACACACCCTTTGCAAATTATCATCGCTCAATTTAGCAACCTCTTCCTAGCTCTCAACAGGAACTGCAAATGTGTCTCTTTGTTTAATCTTTCCTTCTCCACGTGAGGAGGTGCGAGTCCTGATCCCAAGGTGAGGGCCTAAGATGTGCCATATCGACATCACCCAAAAGCCTGGGAGAAGCTGGGCGGTAGTGGAGCACGCCTTTAATCCCAGCACTCGGGAGGCAGAGGCAGGCGGATCTCTGTGAGTTCGAGGCTGGGCTGGACCAACAGCCTCCAAAACAATATAGAGAAACCCTGTCTCGTAAAACCAAAAAATAAAAACAAAGCCTGGGAGAAACGTGGAGTCCCAGATTCCCTTTCAGACTGACTGAGTCAGACCTGTATTATTATTAATTTTTTTTTTTTTTGGTTTTTCGAGACAGGGTTTCTCTGTGGCTTTGGAGGCTGTCCTGGAACTCGCTTGGTAGTCCAGGCTGGTCTCGAACTCACAGAGATCCGCCTGCCTCTGCCTCCCGAG